GCAGCCATTAACTTTGAAAGTACGGACCCCATCAAGATTTGAAATTTCAATGGTTCCATACGGGAATACTGTTTTGACCACAAATGGTCCTGACCAACGAGATTTGAGTTTTTCAGGAAATAATTTCAGATGTGAATTGTACAGAAGTACTTGTTGACCTGGCTCAAATTCTTTTGGAATAATTTTCCTATCATGCCACTTTTTAGTCTTTTCTTTATAAATTCGAGCATTTTCATAGGCTGCTAACCAGAATTCATCTATTTCATTTAACTGCAAGAGTCTCTTTTCATCAGCTGTTTTACAGTCAAAATTTAAAAACTTAGTAGCCCATAAAGCCTTAAACTCTAATTCTACTGGAAGATGGCATGATTTTCCGTAAAGCAATTGAAATGGTGACATCCCAATAGGAGTCCTAAATGCATTCCTATATGCCCAGAGAGCATCATCTAACTTTTTGGACCACTCTTTACGGGAATTTCCTACTGTCTTTTCTAAGATCCGCTTAAGTTCCCTATTGGAAATTTCTACCTGCCCACTTGTTTGGGGTGATAAGGAGTTGCAACACGGTGTTTGACACCGTATTTTTCGAGCAAAACTTGAAAGTGTTTATTACATAAGTGAGTTCCTCCATCGCTAATTATAGCTCTCGGTACTCTAAATCGGGTAAAAATAATTTTGCGCAAAAAGTTTACCACCACCTTAGCATCATTAGTTCGGAGAGCTACTGCTTCTACCCATTTAGAAACATAGTCAACAGCTACCAATATGTAGGCATTCTGATAAGACAGGGGAAGTGGTCCCATGAAGTCAATGCCCCAAACATTGAAAATTTCAACTTCTAAAATATTGTTTAATGTCATTTCATTCTTCTTGGAAATATTTCCTGTGCGTTGACAACTATCACAAGTCTCTACGAACTGTTTAGCATCCTTGAATAATGTGGGCCAGTAAAAACCGCTTTGGAAAACCTTTGTGGCTGTTTTATTTCCGGCAAAATGTCCACCATACTCAGATCCATGACAGTGCCATAGAATGTCTTTAACTTCTTCCTTTGAAACACAACGACGAATTATTCCATCAGCGCATTGAAAGAAGAGATATGGATCATCCCATGAATATCGTGTTACATCATGCTTGAACTTCTTCTTTTGCTGCCACGTGAGATCGTGGGGAAATTCCCCAACTGTCAAGTAATTTGCAAAATCAGCAAACCAAGGTGTTATCGTGTTGATAGCCATCAGTTGTTCATCAGGAAACTCTTCTCTGATTAAAATATTTGGGCTATCTTGGAGTTCTTTATCTTGAATCCTAGAGAGATGATCTGCTACTAAATTCTCTACTCTTTTCTTATATTCAATCTCAATTGAAAATTCCTGCAAGAGGAGCATCCAGCGAAGAAGTTGTGGCTTTGCATCTTGCTTATTAAAGAGATATTTTAGTGCAGTATGATCTGTATATACTATAACCTTAGACCCTATTGATATGATCTGAATTTGTCCAATACATACACTATAACTAGCATCTCTTTCTCAGTTGTGGCGTAATTTAACTGAGCTTCATTAAGTACTTTGCTAGCGTAGTAAATTACTTGCAACAATTTATTTTTCCGCTGACCTAAGACTGCTCCTATGGCATAATCACTCGCATCGCAGGTGCAGTCGTGAGTTTCTCTTTCAGTATTTTGAAAGCTTTCAGACATTCGTCATTAAAATTAAACTCAGCATCTTTTACCAATAGTTGACTAAGAGGCTTAGCTATCTTGGAAAAATCATTGATAAATCTTCTATAAAATCCAGCGTGTCCAAGAAAGCTCCTCACTCCGTTAACATTAACAGGAGGAGGAAGTTTCTCAATGATGAGTAACTTAGCCTTATCAACTTCAATTCCTTGCTCCAAAACTCGGTGTCCCAGGACTATTCCCTCTTTTACCATAAAATGACACTTTTCCCAATTAAGGATTAGATTGGTTTCCTGACATCGCTTGAGCACGCGAGAAAGATTCGACAAGCAAATATCGAATGAAGAACCAAACACGGAGAAATCGTCCATAAATACTTCTATAATATTTTCAACCATGTCGGAGAAGATAGATAACATACACCTTTGAAACGTGGCTGGTGCATTACAAAGACCAAATGGCATTCTTCGGTATGCAAACACACCGAATGGGCAAGTGAAAGCAGTCTTTTCTTGGTCTTCAGGTGCTACTGGTATTTGATTATAACCTGAATAACCGTCTAAGAAGCAATAATAAGCGTACCCAGCCAGCCTTTCCAACATGTGATCCATAAAACGGCAGAGGATAATGATCTTTATGAGTGGCATCATTTAACCTACGGTAATCCACGTACATCCTCCAACCGGTTACTGTCCTAGTCGGTATTAATTCATTATTATCATTTTTAATTACTGTAACCCCTCCTTTCTTAGGAACAGTCTGTACCGGGCTTACCCACTTGCTTTCTGATATCGGATAAATCATACCCGCATCCAGAAGCTTTACAACTTCTTTTCTGACCACTTCTTTCATAATAGGATTTAATCTCCTCTGTGGTTGACGAAATGGTTTAACATCATCCTCCATTAGAATCTTATGCGTACAAAAAGAAGGATTCACACCTTTGAGATCCGAAAAGGTCCGCCTAATAGTAGTTTTGTGTTCTTTCAAAACACTTATTAATTTTTCTTCATCTTCCTGTAACAATGAATTATTAATGATCACTGGATAAGTATCACCATTGCCAAGGTAGACATATTTCAAGGTGGGTGGAAGTTCTTTTAATTCTAACTTCGGAAATTCAGGTGTTTGGAGAACAATTGTCTTGTCTTCCAGAGATTCAATATCTAAAGATTCAAGCTCATGATCTTCAGAGACAACATCAATTGCTTTTACAACTTCTTCTAATAAAGCTTCATTTAGCGGTTCAGAAGTTTGTAAAATTTTAGCAAATGATTCTTCTATTGTTGGTGTTGTATTAATTTCATCTCGCTGCTACAGCTTTATCGATCACGTTGATTTGAAAACAATCACCTTTTTCTTCCGGGCATTTCATGGCTTCAAAAACATTGACTGTAAATTGCTCACCATCGACCCTAAATAGAAGCTCTCCCTGCTCAACATCAATTAAGACTCTAGCTGTGGCTAAGAAAGGTCTTCCTAAGAGAAGAGGTACTTCAGTATCTGCTTCCATATCTAAAACCACAAAATCTGCAGGGAAAATATAGTCATTTACTTTTACTAAAACATCTTCAACCACTCCTTCAGGCCTCTTGATAGATCTGTCTGCAAGTTGCAATGACAGAAGTGTGGATTTTAGTTCAGTGATTCCTAAAGATTTGGCAAAGGATAATGGCATTAAGTTGATGCTCGCCCCTAAGTCGCACAATGTCTTCCCCACATGAACATTCCCGATAGTGCAAGAAATGCTGAAACTACCAGGGTCTTGAAGCTTTGGTGGTATTTTCTTTCGAATAATAGCACTACATTCCGCTGTCAAAGCTACTGTTTCCATTTCTTCTTTAAGCTTGTGCTTTCTTGAAAGTAAGCTTTTCATAAACTTTGCATAACTTGGCATATTTTCTAAGGCTTCAACGAATGGAATATTTATTTGCAGCTTTTTAAACATTTCTAAAAATTTAGAATATTGTTGCTTTTGTGCTGATTGTTTGTTTCAACCTTTGAGGATATGGAGCTTTAACATACGGATTATCCCCAACGCTTTCATTCTTTCTTCTAAAGAAGGCTTCTTTATTACTTTTTGACGTGGGGTGTCATTTACTGCTTGATGCAGTGGTACTCTTTTCCACAGGTGTGATTACGATTCCACTTCTTGTAGTTATAGCTTTACAATGTTCTTTGGGATTAACGATAGTATCACTGGGAAAGGTACCTGGGGTCTCTCGGCCATTTGTCTAGCAAGCTGACCAATTTGATTCTCCAGATTCTTTATGGCTTCTTGATTTTTAATGGATGTGTGGTTGGGTTATGATTGGGCCATATTTCATTTAGTTTTGTAATATTGATCTTTGGATCATATCTAGGGGTGGAACTTGATTAATTAGAGGTTTTGTGCCTAGTCCTATATTTCGTATAGTCACTGCGAACCGTGTTAGTTGGACTAATCAATCTATGATTTTTCATTTAGGGCCCGTTTGGATGATTTTTTTTCTTCAAAAGTTATTTTTTTTCAAGAAAAAAAAAGTACTTCTCACTTTAGGTATGTTTGGATGTCTGGTTTAAAAAAAAAATCACAAAAAAAGGAAAAAATTTACTTTTTTTAGAAGCTAAAAATTTTAACTTCTAAAAAAAGCAGCAATCAAAAGTCAAATATTTTTTTTCAAAAATGAAATATTTTTATAAAAATATAAATAACTTTAACTTTTGTAAAAAGTACTTTTAAAATAAAGAAGAAATAAAAATTACTTTTTCTAAAAGGCGAAACAAACGGGCTCTTAATCTAATACTAATAGAATTTATTTATTTATTTTGTCGGTAAAGAGAAATTTTTTATAATCTCCAAAGATATGCAAGTTACAGAATAGTTGGTTACAAATTGGATTTATTTTAAGGTTCAAAATTTAAATCATATTAAAAATTGAGAGAATGGAGTTTGCGAAAGAGATTAATTAACTATCCTCTCTTGGGTACTCTAATGCAGTAGTCTTTAATAACAAGTTTATAGTTTGTTGCCTCAAGGGAATGAAAAATGAATCAAACAACTAGATAATGGTGTGTGGTCAACGCCCAGGATCTAATTTTGTATGTTGAAATATGGGGGACAAACAAATCAGATGTTGTAAGCTGGAAACTTGCATACCATATATTTGAAGAGCATCAGAAAAGAAACAGAAAAAAAAAAAAAAAATTTGAAAATATAAGCTATAATTGTTCTGTTGAGAAATTATGACAAAAATTGTAAAACCTTGCATTTAAATGATCCCTGGACCTAGGAAACAAATTAAAAAAGATTATCCCATGCTAGATGTGCCCTCTCATCTCATCAAAGTATAAAAGCTCGATTGGAGGGCAGCCTAGTGATCAAATTCTCAAGTCCGATCCTGAAACCCAACATATTCTGGATTCTTGAACCCACTAGAAACCATAGGATTGAGACGGCGAGGACCCCACGAATAGTAAAAAAATAACTAAAAAATAAAACACAATGACAAAATACAAAAAAAATGGTTGAAGCTCTTGGGTCCCTAAAAGTAGTCAGTGATTGGTACATCTCTCCAACGGTGGCAAAGTCATTAGCCATTTTTTGTACATCGCCAGCAATTACACGCAATCTATCATACCTCCTCCTTAAAGTTTCCCCTTCAATTTGTGTTGGAAACGTATCAAGTTCTTCTTCTAGATCCTCACGAGTTGCTATACCAGCACTAGACAATTGTGCATCAATATGACAAGGTTGCTTAGGCCTCTTGGGATAACGCTTCAACGCAACACAAAAAATGCCCAAAATCACAGAGGGAAAAATGACCATTGGGCAAAAAAGCACAAGGTAGCACAAGATGGTAACAAACAATGTATCAAGTGGATTCTTCCAATTTCGTACGTCCGGTAACCATTTCCATAAGGCAGCAAAGTCACCAATAAGACTCGTGACCCTTTTATAATTGATTGTTGCTTTTCTCATGCTCCACATGTCTGGCCTCAAATCCAGCATAAGATGCACAACCTCTTTTCTCAGTGGTAGATCTTTAGTGCTCAACTTGTATGCTATAACATTAACAGCTTGTTTTCTTAAATTATCAATCTGAGCAGAAGACAGTTGGAAATAATAGTGATGTTTTGGAAACAAAGGTCGAATGTAGGTATAAAACCTAGCAGCCATACCATATGAAGCAAGTGAAGAAAACCTCACTGCCAAATGGATTTCTCCCATCTTCTTCACCCCTGAAGGGTGCAAACCTATAATGGGATAAGAATTTGTATAGACTTTGTTAAGGGCAAGTGTTGATAGCCGAATTCTAATCTTACCCATTAGAATATCACTTGCTCCTCTAGCTCTATCGTTAGCATCTAACTGGTTGTTGTCAAAAACTCCAATAGTAATAACTGTACATGGCTCATAAACATTCCAAACATATTGCTCATTCCACTTTGGTGAGAGGCTATCAACAACTGTCCTTGTTCGAACCCATTTTGGGCCATATTTAGCAACACAATATGCATCTGTTCTGGTTTGCATCTTCATTGGCACCAAATCAGTTGCCTTTATGATCGCCAGTTCCAAAACTCCAATTTCCGGTTCCTGAAGTATCTCTGACGAAGGCCTAAAATCACTACTATAATGAATAGGCTCATCCATTACATGATAGCCACCATCCAAAGAGATCTTTGCATTAATCTTACTAGCAAACTTAACCTCCCTTGCAGTCTCAATGACTCCAGGCCTATCAAGATTATACCATTCCATGTCCACTTTACCAACACCTGTTCTCTTAACCACGCTTGTCAATTGAAGCCTATGCCATCCCAAGCTTACATGCTCTGCCAATGTCCCCTGCTCAACGCTCATGACAAGAGTGTCAAGAAAAGGTTCTTGTGCAACAAGCAACAAATCCTCGTTCCAAATTGCACTTGCACCCATGTTTTTAGAAAGACTTGTTCTCACACGCACGCTTCCCGAATCAACTTGGACAAAAATTTCTGAACTCAAAATGTCAGGTCTCAGCAACAAGTCCTGTGCTTGAATCACATGGACTCTGAGATACCAAAGCTTTGGTGATGTATATATCTTGTGACGAGTATAAGCAACACTATCACCGCTCATTCTTGTGGCATCTGAAAACCAAGCATCAGGAAAACATTCATCTGCTTGAGTTCCTATCCACACAGATAACTTGATATCTCCTAGACCAACCTGTGTCCCAGTTTCATCCACTAGCTTATGCCATTCTGATGCCACAGGAGCCGTTGGTTGAATCCGCATTGGAATATCAATGATACAAAATCGAACACGACCAAAATATGCTTGCGGGTTTGGTTCAGCCCTCATCTGATCCTTCACCAAAACATCCACATCCGTGACATGAATTTTATCTTTCTCAAAAGCAAACACTTGATTCCATTTATAGGATGAATTCCCTAAGAACCGGGTTGTTGCTATCATGTTTCCTACTTTAACTTCCACATAAAAGTTGTGTCTAATGGGCAAGTTTCTGGCCTCGACAACCTTCACAAATAAGTACTCCATTTTTTCAACAAGGTCGAATGGCCTTGTTAGCTTGGTCTCATCTACAAAGTCTAATTCAGCACCCATTTTATTAGAAATTTCCATGGGTACTGTAGATTCGTTACTTTTTTTGTCTGCCTTCTCTGAACCTGATTTGTACAAAGCACAAGTTTAATAAGCTTTAGTTTATCATAAAAATAAAACTCAAATTGCACAAAATTATGAAAATTAAACACCAAATGTTAGGTCATTCAGTAAATTCTCTTTTAGACTCTATGATGATATAATCATAGAGTCAATATCACCGATTACTTGTTGCGTAAATAAAAACATCTAGCTAGCTCTAAAATATTTTTATGAATATTGATAAAAATAAGTAACAACAATGTTTTACATAAAATAAGATAAGCAAGCAACAGATATTCAAGTAAACACAAAGCCAATAATAAAACCACATGATAAGCCAAAGAGGTTATTCCTCTACAACAGGGCCTTCCCGCTTACAAATAGATTTATAAAAAGAAAATGTTATTCCTCTCTCCTTGCGTTATTGTATCTGCCCTCCTTTGTGCTCACTTTATGTGAATAACATCTCAATCATGGTTTTAAAAAGAGGTTGTGCTGTTGTTATGCAGCTATGGTTGCGACTTGCCATTTTTTAATTGATTCAGATCAATTTATATTAATTTTGTTGCAAATTACTACAATTAAATCATAAACTTTTTTTGTCTAAATATCCATGATTGATGGTTTTTAGATTGGATCCAATCAGTACCAAATTATCGAAATATTCAACTTTGAATTAAATAGTCATCACGTTATGATAATCAAATCAATATTTCTTTAAATATTTTAATGTTATTTATATCTCAAATCATCAACAATGTAAAAATGTTGATATTTGAATTTCATCTGAATATCATCCCAATCATGGTATGTATTCGATTGCATATAATTTTAAAGTTGTAAGATTGTGACTGTAATCATATAGTTGGAAATAATTTATTGAAAATCATGATCCCAGTTAAATTCTAAATTGATATTTTTATTTGTATCCGAAAATATGACTGTATAGCAAAAAAAAGTAAACTTTTTTTTCTTCTGAATATATCCATCATCAATGATTTTTTAGATTGAAGCCAATCAGTATCAACTTATCAAAATATTATTTCCAAAAAAAAAATCCAAATTTAATTTTGAATTATTCATCAATCATTTATGATAATTAGGATCAATCTCTCCTTAAATATTTGAATATCATTTATTTCTCAAATCAATATTGTAGGCTTCAGATTTAATGGAAACAAGAATAAGACTTTGATTTTGAATAAATAAATAAAAAATTAACGGTAAAAATATATATATCTAACAGAATATATATATATATATATATATATATATATATATATATATATATATATGAGGAAGGATATTGTGACAACCAAGTGATGTTACTACCAAGTGACTACCAATCAATCTCACCGTTAGATCGATTATGTTGATCCAACGATTATATTTATTTCTATCTTTGTATGGTCATGATTTCCCTTATTTAAAGTGAAAGCATTAAATATGGAAAATCATAAATAAATATAAAACATTAAATTTGGTAAATCATGACCATACAAAGATGAAAATAAATATAACCGTTGGATCAATATAATCGATATAACGGTAAGATTGATTGGTAGTCACTTGGTAGTAACACAACTTGGTTGTCACAATATCCTTCCCTATATAAAGATATTGTGACATCCAAGTGATGTTACTACCAAGTGACTACCAATTAATCTTACCGTTAGATCGATTATGTTGATCCAGTGATTATATTTATTTCTATTTTTGTATGGTCATGATTTCCTATATTTAAAGTGAAAGCATTAAATATGGAAAATCATAACCATACAAAGGTAAAAATAAATATAAAGTATTAAATTTGGGGAATCATGACCATACAAAGATGGAAATAAATATAACCGTTGGATCAATATAATCGATATAACGGTAAGATTAATTGGTAGTCACTTGGTAGTAATACAACTTGGTTGTCACAAGGGTTTTATAAGAGTTATGTTGTAGGAAAAGTAATTGTGTAATGTTATAAAAATTCATTTTGCGTGCCGTAGATTTTTTTTTTCTTTTTTCTTCAAAAAGTATGGACTTCACAAAATATTGTATGTATAAAAAAATTTGTTATGTCATGTTAAATGACAAAATGCAAACCTAGTAAACATAACCCTTCTTTTAATTAACGGAGAACGAAAGAAAACTAAAATAGGATGGAGATGAACAGTAACCAATAACCAAACAACAAATTTATGGTGATGAAAACGAAAGAGCGACCATGTTGACAACAGTAGTCGGAAATTTCGAAAAAAATAATTGAATAGGATGGTTTACTTCATGGAAAATTCAAAAAAAAAAAAAAAAAATAGTCGAAAAATAGAACGTCTTCGTTTGGGTTCGGTGGAGCAAGACGAAGAGAAATGGCGAAAGTGGATTACTTATGTACTTTAGAGCAATCCACTACGCACCCGTGCGCAATTTAAAATTAAGCTAGCACCAAAGTTTTAAGATTCTCAATCCAACCAAACAATAAATTATGAAAAATTCAATTTTCTCAAAATAAAAGGATTCTATAATCATATACACGTGGCTCTAATACCAAATATAAAATTAAAATAATAAATCATGCATATAATTATAAATACAAAATAACAATAAATTAGAGTTGTAATTACGTGTACCTTGTTGGGCTGTTACAAAGTTGAAGAAGAACAGCTTGAAATAAGGGTACAAGATGCTAGAGTCTTCTTCTCTATCGCATATTCAGAAATTAGCAGCCTTCAGCGATGTGAGCATAATGGTTCATGGAGCTTAGCTTCAATATAAATAGGCTAGAGAAGGGACCTAGTCAATAGCCTAGAAAATTTTAATCCGATTAGTTTTAAAATACAAAATTAATTAATTAATATTTTCCATAAAATAAAATTTCAAACAAATATCAGTAAAACATTAATTATGATATATGAAGGGTTTTATAAGATTTATGTTGTAGGAAAAGTGATTGTGTAATGTTATAGTGATTCGTTTTGCGTGCCTTAGGGGGTGTATTGGATTGAGATTTCAAAAGATTTTAATTGATTGTTTTTGGACAAAAAAATCCGTTGGTATTCGATTAGGATTTTAATAGATTGAAAAAAAGTCATGTGGTATTTGATTAGGATCTTAAATGATTATTTTAGAATCCGTCCAAATCCGTTGATATTCAATCAAGATTTTAAACAATGAAATCACAATCTCGTGGTATTAAAAAATCCGACGATTTTAATGAATTTTCTATTGGTATGAATTTTGTGAGACTTTTTAGTGAAAAATACAAATAGGATGCCTCTCTCACAATCTCACCCCAACCCTTAGGATTTATTGAGATTTTCTATTGTAGTGTTTTCTTCTTCCTTTGGTAGGTTGACTGCTCGAAATTGGGTTCCGCCATTGGAGCTTCGTCAAAACTAAAAAAAAGGGGCATATTTTTGAGTGATTTTTATTCACAAAATAACCCAGAAACAACAAACCAACGAGATTTTAATATAATCTATCTCAAAAATAACATATTTTTGAGCCATTTTTGAGAAATTTTGGAAGTTTAATACGTGATTTTTTAAGTTATGGTCGCGGTTTTTCTGAGCACAAAAATATGTGATTTTTGTATTAAGAACAACATAAAATAGTGAAAAAAGAACAGGGGAATTTTTGTTTTATTTTCGTTTTACATCAATGAAACAATATCAATTTAAAGAAAGATTGAAACTTTCATAATATAAACCCTATATTTCGTAACAATACATTCATGAACGAAATTCCTTCACTGTAGGAAACGATTTCAAACAATTTTTGTGTCAATAAATAACTAAAAACTTGTTTCTCAAAAGCCCCAAAGCAATTTAAGGTTTCAATGTATCGATTGAAATTTTTTTTGATAAATTTTCATGTAATTAAACCCAAAATTTCAGATTCAAAATTTTCTTAATATTCAATGAAAATATACATATGATATATGGTTAGAAAATTTCAAAAACCCCACGGTTTTCAAGATCAATTGCAAAAAATTTCATACGAAATTTTATCATGAACTTTAGGTTATATATGCAATTTTAGAATTATTTTTATAATTAAAAAAATTTGGATCTTATAATCATACATGCATAGTTTTTATACTAAATGAAGAAGATGATTTTCAACCCATTAGATATGTGAAAAGCTGTTGTTTAGTAATTTTGAATGTTTGTTAAAAATTACATTATGTTTTACGGATGAGAAAAGTATATTTGGTTTTACTTTTTTTTATTAATTTCACGGTATTTCTTTGTTATTTTTTTATGGGGAAGATTATATTTACAACCTATTTTTGTCTACAACTTTTTACAACCATATCTTAACCGTTGATTTTCGTTAATCAATGGTTATTATTTTCGCAAATCAAACTCATTAATTAATATTTAATTTGCAATGAATGATAACCGTTGATTGACGAAAATCAATAGTTAAAATATGGTTGTAAAAAAATAGGTTGTAAGTATAATCTTTCTTTTTTGTATTGACTCTTGTAATTTTGAATGTTTGTTAAAAATCCATATGATTTTTTAAAATCTTATAAATTCATATTGTCCTTTCAAATCTTATAAATTCTATTAAAATCCTTTAAAATTCAATCCTATGAAATCTTGATTGTAAAAAAGTCTATAAAGTCTCTCCAATTCTAAAATATCTTTTAAAATCTGTAGGATTTTTTATCTCAAAAAAAGTCTTTTAAAATCTTAATCTGTATGATTTTTTTTGTTGCTTTTAAAATCTCTCATAAAATGTTGTGTGTGTAGGAAATTTTTTCTTGTAATATTAAAGGACAAACTAAAACCCATATATGAATTTAGAAATCATTTTCTTTTATTCTAGTAATAAGTTTCCAACAATAAATATTTTTATGGACTATACATTGTACTTTTGAAAAATGAATCAAACAGATTAGATGCTCACAATTAGTCAAATTTCTATTATATACACCATAAAGCTCATTTAAATGAATTTATCTTTAAAAAAAATAAGTAGAAAAGTATTTTTTATTTAATTCAAAAGAAATTAAAGATATTAATTTACTAAATTGTAGAGATATATACATCTTGTTGTGGTATAAACTCAAGCACAATTTATTATATTTCAATCTCAGACAAACCAGAATTATTATAATTAATTTTCGCAGTATTTTATGGGTTTTATTATGTCAAGTGCTGATTTGTAAGAGATTTCATCGGAATCAAATTATTCTAATATCATGTAAGAGATGTCATATCCTGCAATCTTAGTGATTAAATAAAATCAATTTTTTTTTTTGTAAACAATAAAATCAATTTTAATTTTGTCTTATTAACGCAGATTATTATAATTAATCCTTTTTCTTTTACATTTAAGTGGCTTTGTATATCTTTTATACGGTAGTTAAAATTAGAATTTTACCTAAAATCGGAAAGAAGATGAAAAATCACAAACGTAGAATCTTAACGTAAAAAAATCGTAAAAATGTTTGAAATTTTGATGAAATCGTTTTGATTAAAAAAAAAATCATAAAATCACAAATTTAAATGGAGATTTTAATTATCATTATCTTGTAATCAAACCCTATTGAAAAATGAATATTGGTATACTCATTTTCATCCGAATCAAATTATTCTAATATCATGTACAAAACACAAAGCCAATAATCAACCAAATGTTAGTGAAAATGCCTGTGCAAACAAGAAACCGAATATGTATATATTCTGTGTCGTAGGAATCAAAAAGATTAAAAATATTTACAAAAAAGAAGAAGGAATTTTTAATTGTTATTATCTATTTTTTAATATAACTTTTTAAGCATTAAAAAATAGAAAAATATATTTCTCATGGAATATTTACCAGTACCACAACCCAAAACAGTGTCACTTCCGTTTTAGGGGGAGTACCAGTATTTTTTTTTAGGAGCAAATAACTTTAACTGTAATTAAACTGATTTACTTTAAAGAAATAATTAGATGATATATTAAAAAGAAAATATAGGTATTTTGAAAATGTCGAATATAATTTTATCTTTTATTGTAATTTTTTTTTAAAAAAAATCTATATTAACTTTTACTTCTCAGGTGAGATCACGAAAATGATTGCAATTAAGGAAAAAAAAAAGGAAAACCCTTCTTTAAGCTTTTTTGTTTTTCTTTTTAAAAATAATAATTATTCAAACAATTGAATATTTGATCAAGGAATCTGAATTTCACTGAACACATTTTGTTATTTCGCATGGAGAAGCTGCTTATAATATCAGATTCAATCAAACCCTAATTACTCTTGTGCTTCGAGTAGCTTCACTCGGCACCACAATCAAATGAGGGTTCTGCAACTGGGCTTGTTGCTTGCTTTGGCATCTGGATTTGTAGCAATTTCCATTTATATCACCGGACTCTCTGATCCTTCTGTATGTATGTATGTATATATATATATCTATCTGGTTGAAATTGTAAGAGATGGGTTCATTTGCCTTAAATGTAATGATTGTTATATAACCATATACAGATCCGAATTATCACCTCACAGATGAAGACACGGAAGCGTTGCTTTCGTTGCACAACAGTTTCCAGAAGTGTGTGGTAAGGTTTCCCTAATCTTTATTTTTTTTTATTTTTTTAATTTCCCGTTTACTGTTCTAGTTTTGTTCATTGGCTTCTGTGTTGTTGCATCAGCCTTAAAATTGCACTGATTGTCATTTATATGTTTTCAATACAACTCACAACGTTTTTGCTTAGGTTACGCATGCATGTATGATTGGTTAAGTAGTGAATTAGGAAGAGATTGTTGTTGGGACGGTGGGGGAGCTTATGGCGGGGAGAGACCACCGTCGTTGGGCTAAGTGACAAACAATATGTTTGGATGCCAACAACACAGATTGACAAATAGTTAAACACTAAGAATAAGGTTATCAAACCGCAATATAAGTGGTGAATAACTAAGCTAATTTTTGAATGTTGAATTGTAAATCATATCAAATTGTAAGATTTGGAGACACAATGAAAAATAGCTGGAAATGTATCATATAAATGATGCATTTTGGTTAATGAAATAATTTTAAACTAGGAAGTAGGAATTGACAAAACAACTTAACCATAAGTCTCAAATAAAAAAATCGTAAGTTATAACCATGCCACATAAAGTAACTACATGAAGCTTATGTTTCGGAAGAACGAAAACAGAGCATTGATATATTGAAATAAGGTGAATATAGTGTAAGTGAGTGACCGTTTGAATTCTTTGTGTGAAGCTCTTATTTCAGAAGAATGACAACACGATAGTCGAATAATCAGATAGGGTGCATTCAATGACGTTCCTTTAGTTTCTTTTGATTTGACAACTTAAGCTTATTTGACTTTTAATTTCTTTTATAAGAATTAATAAAAGAAAAGCATAAAAGAAATAAAAATTAATGGATCACTAAATTGTGAGATTCATATCGGTGATACAGAATTGCACCGTTTCATGCATGTGTCGCACGATTCAAAGCCATATCTGATTCATCACATGATACGAATTGCTAGCTTGGCAAATCATATCGTTGTGCGATTCTAACATCGATGACTGAATACACTAATGTTTAATGTCGGATCTTTGATAATGGTAGGAAAACTTTTCTACTAAATTTCAAAAAACTATTTTTAATGTTGAAAACTATGATAATTTCTTTGAAAGGATTATGCTGCTTAAAAGAATTCTTAATTTTGATTGCACCTGTGTGGTATTTATTTTAGAGTTTAAATTGTAGCACTTTAGTTTTTATTTTATTTTTATTTTCATATGGTTTCTGTGCTTTATACATCTCATTCAAATCTTGTATTCTGAGTATGTATTCTTTGGATGATTGGACTGAGTTGCTATTTTTGTGTTTTATGCAGAGTGCAAATGGACTTGGTCTGAAAGCAGATAGGGGCAGCGATTATTGCCATACCACAATAAAGTTCCCCAGTGACACCATCCCCAAATGGGTAAATATTCCTAATCATTCATTGACATGACTATTATTCATGAAGAAAAAAAGTGTTGCATATGTGGTCCTCAAAAATATGTTAATTATGACAACCTATACCTACAACCCGGGGCAAAATGGGTTCTTCCTATTCAGAAGTATGGATAGTGATATACTTGATACATGTGGATTAAAAAAAGTTAAAACAATTATCCCATTTGTTGACATATGGAGGTTTCTGTATTAACAGAGAGATCCCAAAACCGGGGAACTTGAAGCTTTGTCTTTTGATTTTAATCTATGTGAAGCTGTGGCTACATGGGAACAGGTATGCAACTTGGTCTGTGTTTTCATTATTGTGATTACCCATAAATCTATCATATCTTTCATGACATATAAATCCAAATGCTTTTGATAATTGATATTCTGTTTGATAGATATTGCAATTAGACCCTGTGAATACACATTTTATAGTCGACCAAAACGCAGTTCAAATTCCCTTGCCATCCTCTAGTATACCAATTTGTGAAAAGGAATTTATGATGTATGCTTTACATTTTATTGTTGTGTGTAATGAATTGATTGCTCAGGTGCGAAACAGTACCACTATACTCACCAAGGAATTCATTGATTCTTTACCAAATGGATGGGAGGAATATGCATGGCGTAGGATCAATAAAGGAATACTTCTGTAAGTAAACGTGCAACTGAATTTTACTAAACATTGAACTAATTATGCAATAATGGTAACCTATAAGGATGACAGCCAAACTAAATTGCATTTTAATTCATTTATTCAAAATGAATTATAGTAGTATACTTTAAATAGCTGGTTATAAGTTCCAGAAAGGTTATGCAAATTTCAAAACCTCAAATGGTATGAAATTTTCTTTTTCCAATAAAACAACAGTGTGACCTTTATGTCCAGAAATAAAGCATATGTTATGTTACAACTAAGATACTCTGTCAATTTGTCAGTCCTAATACATGTTTAATGGTCTGTAAAGAAGCAAACCTCCACGAAAATAACTTATGTGACAAATCAATGTTAAAAAATAAATACATTATAAACCAAGAGATTTACAAGGTTCAGCCTATAGGCCATCATCTCCTTGCTCTTGTAGAGGTAATAAAACCTTTTCTTAAGCTGTCTTTTCTACTTTACCTCTAATTGCTAAATACAACATAAGCTTTGCAATATATAACATAGTTATTGCTTTCCATGTTTAATGTGTTTAAAATTACTTATAGTGGTAAGTTCATGGTTTCTTATTTAGAAGGAAATTAAAGTTAGTGAAAAGTCTCATAGAATAAGATCTTTCTGTGTTGCAGCAACCGCTGTGAGAACAAGAACTTGTGCATGGACAAACTTTCACTAGTGCTCCCTGAAACTCCACCATACTTCCCAAGGCAGTTTGAGCGCTGTGCTGTTATTGGTAATTCGGGAGATCTCTTGAAAACAAAATTTGGGAAGGAGATAGATAGTTATGATGCTGTAATTAGAGAAAACGGTGCTCCAACACAGGTTTGTTGCTCAATGGGTTGTTTCTGGTGTTCTGTTTATTTTATCCCAAAATTTAAGACCTTGCCTACTCATTTTTATTTATGCCTGCAGAACTACACTGATTATGTGGGTAGGAAAAGCACGTTTCGCCTTCTAAACCGAGGATCTGCCAAAGCACTGGATAAAGTTGCAGAATTAGATGGTATTGCACTTTTTATAATATGAGTTCCACTTGTTATAATGCCTATTACGAATTACTATAACCTTACTATAAATGCTGTTTCTGTAGAACAAAGAAAAGAAGTCTTGATAATAAAAACAACAATCCATGACATCATGAGCAAAATGATTCGGGTATGTTTCTTTATCAAAAGAAACCATCTTCTAAAATCCTTACTTTATATTTGTTGTGCTGTGCCACAACTACAATTCTATATGCTCACTTGCAAAGCAATTGGCTTTTGTCTTCTGCAGGAAGTTCCTATAAGAAATCCTGTATATCTCATGCTAGGTACATCCTTTGGTTCAGCAGCAAAAGGAACTGGGCTTAAGGCTCTTGAATTTGCCCTGTCTATGTGTGATTCGGTGGATATGTATGGTTTCACTGTGGATCCTGGTTATAAAGAATGGTATTATATTTTTGTTGGCAATTAGTATTTATTTTTTGCCATTTAGTGTTTCTGGTTAAATACTTCTTTGTTTGGAATTTGATGACCTGATCAATAAACCTTGTATTTTTCTTTTAGGACAAGATATTTCTCCGAATCACGTCAAGGCCATACCCCGTTGCATGGGAGAGCTTATTATCAGATGATGGAGTGCTTGGGAGTAAGTAAATTATACTTGTTACTGCACGTAGAAATCATTCAGAACTTGTTAATTTTAGCATCATGAAAGATGATTTTGAAGTTGTGGAGGTCTTAGGAGGTTGAAGTCATAGTAATGGCTTTCCTTTGGTACCAAAAAAAAAATATAAATTTTCCTCATTATTGGCTGAGAATTATGTTAATTATTGAAGTTTCACACTTAGATTGAATAAATCATAAGCGAGGATGTTTATTCTGTCATGACTTAGTAGTACGAGCATAATCACTTTTTTGTGTGTTTCTACGCACTGACTTTGTTTATTGGCTTCCGTTGTCAAGCTTATCAAAATTCATTCTCCCATGCGAGCGGATCCTAACCGTGTTGTCAAATGGGTTCCAAACCATCATGTTATAAGGGCTGCTAGGATTGCATCAGAGAAATTATTGAGGTAAATGACCCCCTCAAAAAAATTGTGTTTTTAAAAACATTTTTGTGTGGTGTTTACCAGGGACCTGAAGTAAAAATTTATACTTACAGTAGTAAGTGTCTTAATGTCTCTGGGCTCGTGCTCCTATTAAGACACAGCTAAAATTGTTATAAATAGAATATTTAGTTGTTTGTTGGTCATGTTAATGAGTAGAAGGGTGTTGGTCTTTGACCTGTTCTACTGGAAAACTGGAAAATACTGAAAGTTCATGACCCTTTTGTATAGCTTCATTTGGCATCAGTCATACGGCCCTGCTAGTTTACTTTTCTATGGGCCTTCAAATTATCTACCCAATGTAAAAGTTAGACATATCAAATAGTTTACTATTCTATGGGCATATAATATATGGATCATCAATGCCTAATGCTAACCTGCAATTGGGTGAACACACACAAGGCATTTTAATTGTTCAACATTAATTGAGCTCGACATTGTGAGTACAGATTCTTTGCATCTGAGACTTGTTGGACTTTCTCAATTTTATGATTTTTACAGGAGAGTTGGTGCAGGATCTGAAGATCCACTGGGTGCATGTTCTATAATTAAGAGGCAAGTTAAAAGAAATCTAAATGCAGTTTCAAAGCTTAGAAAGGTGGCACTTGATCATATAAGGTATCTGAAGGGCACAACCATGTATCCTCTGGAGCATAGTCCTGGACACGGATTGCTTTGCACTGTGCCAACTGATTGAACTGCACTGAGATTTTACGCGATCAGCTTGTGTTGTCGGAGAGCATCTAACCTCCAGATTTACAAAATTTTCTGTTTGTTAATCTTTGCAAAATATATGTCATTAACAGGAAAAAAATGGCCATGAAGCTTCCTTCTCTCCACCGATGCGGTGGCAAATCAACAAAATATTTTTAATCTTTCTCATTCTTTTCTTCTTTTTGTTTTAAAACTTTATAAGGACTTGGATATGGTTAGGGAGGAGATGACAGAACAGCTGGGATAATTTTGTGGCACCTGTACTGCTTAGTTGAACAATAGTGATTTGAGCTGTAATGAATCCATTTTGTTTTTCTTCGAATAATGAAGTATCATAGTTTTAGTGCAGGTTGAAGCTTGACACTACGCCTTGCTAATTCTGAACTGGCGTTAGCATATAAAATCTTATTCTCAATGTTCATGAGAATTTTATTTTATTTCTTTTTTTTTATGATCGCCAGGCCTCCTGTGGTACATTGGTCATAATAATAAAATAAGAAAGGAAGTTAGTTTATGCAACAAAGACAAAATTTTAGAGAAATTAGAGCAATGTACTCTTAAAAAGTTTTTAACATAGTTATCAATGCAAATAATAAAACAAATGTGAATGCGGAATCTTCCTCTTTTCTTCTAAACTCCAGTATTTGGATCCTGTCTTAAGGATCCTATGCAGTTTTCTTAAACTGCAGAGAATCTCTACTCTCTTTTTTTGTTTTGTTTTTTTGGTATTGTAAAATATTAAACACCGCTTATTGATCATGAGTTCGGATTTCAACTGCAGCACTCGATCCAGGTCAGGAAATTGTGGATGTATTATATATTGAATACTTAGAATAATATAAATATTGACACAACAGTTAATTTTGATAATAGAATAATATGACATTACTTCGTAAATTTTATACTGTGAAGCCTGTTTTTTATTTTATTTTTTTAGCACAATTTTAAAAAATTAATGTACCATATTAGGTATCAACTCAATTGAAATACGATGCTCGGATTTCGACAATTAATTACATTTTTTTAAATTTTTTATTTTAAAGAATCAGCCCTCCGTTATTACTCTCCATTACAATACTACCGCAAATTTTTATAATAATAAAATTTTTAATATTATTTCCATTAAAAAAAAAACATTAAAACTGATTGTCTTTTCTAATCATATACCCAAATGTAACTTTCAACAATATTTTATTTTCTCTAACTGAAATATCTCCTTAGACATTATTATAAAAGATCAATTCTTTGATTATTACCTTCATAACAGTTTTGGAATTTTTGGTTTTTCCACTGAAGAGTGCCAGTGCCAGTGCCACTCGCTTTCAACGTGTCCAATAACTTTTCAACAAAACAATGTGCAATCTCAAATCAAATCTTAAAAAACAATAAAACAAGGTAAGCTACTGTCTATTTATTAGAGTACAAATAAAACCAATCCAACTCGAAACTACAATAGACGACAACATATAATGATATAACACACTGAACTTTGCACCTTCCAGCTGCTACTGTTGCTCTTCTTCTCTCTGCTCTTTCTTCTTATCCACTTCATCACACACAAACCCCAAACCCCTAATTTTTCACTTTATTTATTTATTTATTTATTTTGAAAAAAAGAAAAGAAAAAAAGAAACTCTATCACTGTTTAGTACATTTTGAAGAGAGATAACGGTTTTCCAATCCAATGGCAGAGATTCAGCCGCCGGAGGGTCAGATGAACGGTGGCGGAACCCTAATTCTGAACTCTTGCGAACCCATCGGATCTAAGCGTCAGAGGAGGCCAAGCGTCCGATTGGGTGACATCGGCGGCGACCAACCCTACGATTCCCACGCTCGCCGCAACACGAAGCCGTGGAAACTCGCCTTCGACCACTACCGCAAGGACAAGGACCCCAACGTTTCAGGTAAACCCTCCAAGACTCGACCTTTAACCAACTTGACCTCTGTTGCGGAGTTTAACGAAACCCTAGAGGGCGACGAAAGAGAAGGGAACAACATCGATAGCATCGCGATTGGTAGCTGGAAGGTGAAGGAATCAAAGAAGAGAGGCTCCATCGCCACCAAGAGGGTCAGATCGAATTGGGTTTCGAGAATCGACGACGGCGGAGGGGAGGGAGAGGAAAAGTATAGTGGCGGTGAGGATGTGGATGATGGGTATCGGGAATTTGAAGTGGAAAATTCAGAAAGCCCTTTGAAAGAACAAAGCCCTATTCATTCCATGGAGAATTTGGGGGTTGATGGACATAGGAGGTCCTTTAAGGGTAGGGAGGAGCAACATGATGGAATTGAGCTATCTGGACCCTCTGATACTGATGGAAGGGATTGGAAATGCGGAGGGACTAGTGTTGATAGGAATGAGAATGGTGGGAGGGTGAGGTCTGGAGAAGATGGGATTCGGATTTGGCTTAATGGGTTGGGGTTAAGTCGTTATGCACCTGTGTTTGAAGTTCATGAGGTTGATGATGAGGTTTTACCAATGTTAACACTTGAGGATCTCAAAGATATGGGGATAAGTGCTGTTGGGTCCAGAAGAAAAATGTACTGTGCAATTCAGAAGCTTGGAAAAGGGTTCTCCTGAGGTTTTACTTGTTTTTTTAGCACTCCCAAATGTAGCAGGGGAGGGGAGGATTCTCAGCCGTAGCAAAATTCAGATGCGTATGTCTGAACTGAGTTCTAGTATGTTCTCCCATGACCCCTTTTTTTTTTAGGCTTGGAATCGTTAGGTCCTTACATGTTCTTATTTGAGAAACATCCTTTTTGAAATCCAGTGCAAGTAAAGTAAGTACATATAACTCTGCGAATTTTGTTGGAGCAATTCATTGTTTCTGTTCCTGAAGCATTTCTAGTTGTATTATCAGTGATAACTCTGAAAGAGTAATGAGGGAAAAAAGAAACATGTTAAACGCATTTGGAATGTTTTTTCTTAAAAGAAAAGGGAAATGATGTTTAATTTCTTCATTCTATCCATTGGAATACCAACGAATACATCTTTATAGTCTTCTTGAGAAATTCTTGTGTAGACTTTGTCTACGAAAGTTGTGTGGTTTTTCCTTGTGAGGACTAAATATCAACAATTGATGCATCATCATTTTATGTATATAAATTCCTGTGTCATACAACTATTTTGCATTTAAAGTGACAGCGTGTCAATTTTTAAGTGGCTTAGTTTACACTTGTGTAAACCCTGTATACACAAGTCTCTCAGTTTTCTGTGGGTTATGCAATGTGGTGTTTCTTTGTGACTTATAATACCAAGAGAATATTTTAACATGTTATTTTGGGAGCTATTCCTAAAGTAAATTAATTATTATAACTTTTTAGCACATCTATTTTGTAGATATGGTGGCAGTTTGGTATGTTTTTTACGATTATCATGTTATTTAATGGAATTAATATATTCTTAATTTCCTTGTTGCTTGCAATATTGCCATTGGCAACATCTGTCTCTTTAACCATCTTCAACCTCAAGCAATGGGATGATTGCAAGCTTGAAACGTTATAAATTCTGTCAGCTGTAGAATCTAGGGTTTGACTGGTCAACAATATTTTTATATTTTAACCAGGATTGTTGGAATTAGCTGAGCCGGTCTTTGGGTGCTGCCTCCAAAGCTTCGTTGTTCTTGGGTGGATGTGTGCTATGGAATGAGAGCACGTTTAAATATTTTATTTTATTTTTACATAGCGAGAGTATGTCTTTGATAGTGGTCGGCAATTTTGTTAGGCAGAAATGATTGAATGCATATAATGTTGCAACTGAATTCATTTTAGCTTATATATCTATTGATGGAGGTCCTATCTAAACTGGGAAATCTGGTAGTGCTTAGTGGATCAGGTGTGAGTATCTTACTATTTGTTGATGCTCCTTGAAATTTGAGTGCATTTCTACGCTGTTTTGTGTTACCCCCATCTTTGGATTAATACATTTTGAAATTGATAAAAGATGATTGAGGTAGGAGAAGGAAGCTCCGTTAACAGGAGGGATGCTTGCTAAAAGAACAGCATGTGTTTACCCTCTACTTAATTAGGCTTTTAATTCCTTGACAAAGCCTATTACATAATTCTCCCTAGTTGTGTGAAACTTCTGCTAATGGGGACCAAAAGTATTTTGAGCTATTTTCTCTTGCCAGGAGATTAACTGTTTAATAGGAAAATGGACCCTAACATGATTATATCATGTAGAAGAATTCTAATCATATAAAGGTGAATTAACTGTGATGATTTTGTAACTAATTATCTCGATATTTTTTCTTTCTATTTTTTTTTTTATCACTATTGATTCATTTTTGTATTGGTATTATTCTTCCACATGATCATGTTAAGTAACATATGAAAAAATTTATTCCCGTTTAATAGAGTGAAGAGAGGGGGGATAACAGGGAAGTTGGAGAATGTGTTTAATGATTGTATTTATGGAAAGCAAGTGCCTGATAGATGGGGAATTACGTGCTAGTAGATTCGTGGTAGTAGAGCTAGATGTTAAAATCTCATATGACTTAGTTATATAAATTTTTTGGATCTATCTGTATCTTCATTAGCATTTTAACATAATGGAGATATGTAAAAATTTGACAAGAGGATTCACTCCCATGGGAGCTACGTATCAAATTACCACTTTTGATTTTCATTTCGAATTATTTATATTTTATGAACACCCTTTACCAACCTGAGCGCATGTTAGGTTATGTGAGTGTACCATGGTCTGTCACGGTTCAGGTCACCACTTTCATGATATGTTCTTCTTCTTTTTTATTTGGTAGTTTACAGGGAAGAAGCCCCATGATATGTTCTTTTTGTTGTTCAGATCATCAATGCAACAAGTTCTCAAATCATTAAATTACAACAACTGAGGTAATCAACTTGGGTTACAAGGATCAAAAGTACATTGCAAGTTGAAGAGTGAAATTCGATTCTCCTGACCATGCCATTTCAAAATCTTAACAGACATAATTATAACAGTTTTGTGGTTCGGTTTACCTCGGGTAAAATATTGCTTCAGAATAACAATGTTAATTTTTTTTTTTGGTTTTCTAAGAATCCTCCAATTGACAATCGAAGACTTATTCTTTCTAGGTGGGAAATCAAATTAAGTGAGTAAAATTTTCACAACAAAGCCTTTTTTATACACTCGGTCAGAGACCGAACTCCTATCAATATACTTAAGGAACCAGCTATTTATTAACTGTGCTGAGCTTTTATTTGAATGTACTATTATTAATTGAGAACATTGTTCATAATGTCTTTAATTAAAGGATTGAATTAATAATGAACTGAATTGATTTTTTACTTATTTGAAATATTACATTGATGTTATCCCTTTCTAAAAGAAAATTGGATGTTTATTCTATATTTTACGAGCAGTAATAATTGCATCATCATCTTCTGCTTCTTAGTTTTCTTTCTTTCTTTTCATCTATTCTCTAATTTTTTATTAATTTTTTTTATATATCATATGAGACAAAATTATCTCATGTATATAAAAAAATAATTAGATCTAATTTTTTATTTTTTTATTTTGTATATGTATAAAATAATTGGGAAAAGTTCACCAATACCCCTGTGGTTTACTTCAGAATCACTTATGCCCCTGTGGTTTTTTTCTTATCACATATACTCCTGTGGTTTGTAAAAGGGTATGTTTTTTATCACATATACCCCTGTGGTTTCTTATTTTTTACAAAACACAGGGACATATGTGATAGAAAAAAACCACAGGGGCATAAATGATTCTGAAGCAAACCACAGGGACATTGGTGAACTTTTCCAAAATAATTTTATTGCACGTAATATAACAAATATATTTAAAAGAAGGAGGCGCCTAACAATAAAGGTTCATACTCTTTTTTTTTGTGTTGGATTCAACCATGACTAGTTTATAACACGTAAATATTGGGTCTCTAGTACGAGTGAATATTTGGTGAACCTGGGTAGAGAGAGAGAGAGAGAGGAGAGAAAGAGGGATCACCAAATTAATTCTCCTCTGTTACGTGAAAATATGGATGTAAATAGGTTAGGTTAGACTTTGACTTAAATAGGTTAAGTTTGTGTAAAAAATATTAGGTCTGGTCTTGCCTATTAGACTGTGTATGCCCCAAATTACAAGTCTGGTGTAACCTATATTTAAAAAAAAAAACTTTGGCCTAGGCCTGTTAGCTTGTTTAATCCTATTAAACATTCAATAGTTAAAGGAAGAGTTTTATGTTTATTATGTTATATAACATAATTTTATTTTCCTACACACACAACAAAAGAGAGAGAGAAAATTGAAGGATGAAAGAGAAAAAAAATATATGGACCCCATCTCTTTGATATATGTGTAGGAAAGTGAAATTATGTTATGTAACATAACAAACATAAAACCCTGAGCTCGTTTGGTGGACAGGATAAAATAAGTGTAGGATATGATATGGGGCTGATAAGGGCTTTTTGACCCTTATAATCCTTTATTAATAATTAATTACCAAATTGACCTTCATTATAAACTATTTCAAAAATTTAACCTCCCCAAAAAACATAACACCAATCTGCCCCTGTTTGACCGTTGACCACCAAGCCTACCCGGGTTTTTTTTTGAAAATTCATGCCTACCCGGGTAGGGAAGGATGTACCCGGGTATATTTCTTGACATCTGAAAAATTGCTTGAATTATTTACCCGGGTAGGAAGGGGTGTACCCGGGTAAATCTCGATCACAAAAAGCATATCTTACAAGCCACTTCAAGCACAACCACTCCTCCTCACAACTTGTCCATCACGGCCAGAATTTTCCAAATAATAATCCTTCGATGCAACAGATTCCGAACAAGGAACCATTTCATCTGCTGCTCTTAACTGTTCCCCCGAACACAAGCACTTCATTATCTTCTACAATCTCCTCCCCTGCCTAACCTTACTCCTCCCCATGCTTTCTCTCTTCACTCAAACCTCTCCGCCATACCACTGCCATACATTAAATTTAAACCACAATCATCACCACAAAAAAAAAGACTCTTCTATGCAATTAATTCATATAAATTTTACCGAAAGTTCTAATTTGTTAGTTACCGATAGTTTCCTGTTCTATTAGATTCAAATTTTGAATTGTCTTTAATAAGAAACTAATAACGCTATAATCAGAATAAGAGAAGTAACATCACGAAATTGAAATCGACGCACAACGATTCAACAGCTATTAAATAAATAATAAAAATAATTATTTTCTACATAATTTACTGGTGAATTCAGCTGAAGACACGGTTATAGAACTCGGAAATACAGAGATAAAAATAATGGAAATGGAAAACGAGTACAGAGAGAAGAGTAATCAAATAAATTCACCTTTTGATTTTGGAGAAAGAAAAGCAGAGGAATGAAGGGCAAGGAACATGAACAGTAATGGCCATTGCTGAATTTTCTGCAATCAAAGGCACCTTTGAATGCTTTGAGTCAATTAAAGCATTGAAAACTGCTTTATCCTCTTTTTTATCGAGATTTACCCGGGTACACCCCTCCCTACCCGGGTAAATAATTCAAGCAATTTTTCAGATGTAAGAAATATACCCGGGTACACCCCTCCCTACCCGGGTAGACATGAATTTTCAAAAAATACCCGGGTAGGAAGGGGTGTACCCGGGTAGTCTTGGTGGTCAACAGTCAAACAGGGGCAGATTGGTGTTATGTTTTGTTGGGAGGTTAAATTTTTGAAATAGTTTATAATGAAGGTCAATTTGGTAATTAATTATTAATAAAGGGTTATAAGGGTCAAAAAGCCGGCTGATAAGCCTATATCATGTCCTGTATTTGATGAGCGCCTAATTAGCAATCTGATAAGCTTATGTAGAAGGAGAAAAGAGAAAGAAAAAAATTAAATATAATGCAATAAATACAAATATATTGGGTAGCGTGGGGATATATTAGGTATCCAATATTGGTATCCTATCCTATTGAATCCTAACCCAACTCCCCCCATAGGAAAAGAAATAATGTATTGGATATGATAAAATGAGACAGTAGGATAAGATAATCATATCCTATTGACCTACCAAACAAGAGATAAAAGTAGGATATGATAAGTTATCCTATCATATCTTTTTTATCAGGTGCTCCAAACATGCCTTAAAAGAATAACTAAAATAATAATATTTTA